TATGGTTTATTTACATAATTTTCCCCTGTTCAAGTTATTTTAAAGTTTAAAAAAACAAAAACAACCCTGGAAGAATGACAGACGTTTCAGAGGAAACACTCAGCATACTTAAATATATACTAAGATTATGCTGAGATTATATCTGTAAACCCTCACTACTTTTATATTAAATTACTAACAACTATGTCCCTACTCATTATTACAGTTTAATAATAAAAACACACATACCAGCAAACATTTTATATGAGGTGTCTCCTTGGGGACCAGTGCAACACTACTAGCACTCTGATCCAGGTGCGTTTATTTGAATTTCTTTTTAGAAAACAGGAGAAAGTTGCAAGAAGGTGAGAACTGAAGACTGCTCTCATCAATCACAAGTGATGATCCTTCAAGTGAATGTTGGGTCAGACAGCCGACGTTAACTCTCAGGCCAAGTTTGAAGTTGTGACTGCACGTGCAAATACAGAAAACAGCCAACCAGCCACTTGATGACACTGTGTAGCATACTCTGGATCGTTCAGTATACGCTACGATAAAAAGGAGCTTTTATGTATTACCAAATCAATAAGAATAAAACTGACCTCACTGTTCTCTGATGCAAACAAGAGCCTTTTTGAGCAAGCACTTCAGATGAAAATCATTAATATCACAAATAACACTGACATTCAATCAGCTGTAAAAATCAAGACTGTGCTTTTACTTTCTGTGTCCTCAAAGAACAAAAAATGAACGTGTGGTTTAAAACTGCTACCAAATATAGCAAAAATAGATAAGTTTAACGACCATGCTCCTCAATTAATGCTCCTAAATTCACTTGATTCAACAGTGCGCCTCTTCAGAGTCTAGTGTACCAAATGCTGTTTGAAAGGAAAATGTTCCACTTCACTGACGCCATTAGTGGCGAACGAAAACCTGCTAATGGGAATCTCCCTTTTCACACTGCCTAACTTACTTCAGCATAATTGTTTTAAGAATGCATTAGTGGTTACTTGTTGTTTTCTGTGCTTTGCATCATGGAGAATAACAGTCTTCTACCACAAATAAATCATCTTGTGAGACACCCTTCTGTCTCACAAGAAGGGTGTGGCAGCTACCCCAGCCTGAAAGATGTGAGCAGGACGTCGAGGAGGGGATGCGTCTAATGTAGCCTGGCGCCCAATAAGAAGCCCGTTATTAGTGTGTAATTAGAATGATCTAAATTTACAGGATAAGTTAAATAAGCTTTTGTATACTTACAATGTGCCTCGCTGCAAATACTCCATCGACGATGGCACAGCAGAAGGCAGCCACCACTCCAAAGCTGATGAAGACAATGGATGCCACTAACTGTGGAAGAAGATGGAGAGGCCCGAGCTTCATATTTGGGTTTTCAATAGAAGGGTAAATCTTAACATAAACGTGCATCATTCTCATTTTCTTTTCTCACCAGTGGCCTTAAACCAGCTGAAATTGCAGTACACTCATGTATATCAGTGTGCAGAAGTACAGTTCAGATCCAGTTAGTGGAAACATCTAGCACTGGTCTGCATTGGTGCATCATATCTTTATTCTCTTCCCCTCCTGCCCCCCCCCCTCTTTCTTAAATAGATAACTATCATATCTGATATCATATCTCACAGTACAATAATATTGAATGGGTTGCATTGTTGTATTTTGTCATGTTTCTCAGGTCTTTGTCTGAATTTCTACGAACATTATTGCTAAGGATTGTCTTATTGCATTATTATTTTCTTCTTTTTTTTGGTTGTATGGAAGCCCCAAACGCAATTTCATTGTTCTTGACAATGACAATAAATAAATAAATACTTAAAATAAATACACTCGCAGTGCAACCTTTACCTAAACCCATCCACAGACCTCTTCTCTTTCAGTCTTCGGTGAAACACAGCCAGTATTCGGTTACACATCACCCCACTCCTCTGGAGGCCGCCCCACCACAGAGAGGAGGGAGTGTGAAGTGACACCACAGACTGAGCAGTTGAGGTACAGTTTCCACAATCAGATCTGAGTCCAGATTGAAAGGCTGAAGCTCCTCTGACCTTTTAAAAGTGGACGTGGTTGTTCTTGGAGATTACTAAAGTAGCTTTTCATGAGTCAAAGTTCAAACTAATCTCTTGTGTACTTGTGCAGAAACTCTGAAGTCCCCCCACCCCTCTTTTTTTATGCTGCCTATTCTCTGATTGGCTGCCCCTCACACACAGAAGGTGGGCAGACTCCGCTCACACCCAGAGCTGTATCCCGAGATCACCATACTAAGGGAAGCCTTCTTTCTTTTATAATCATAAAAATCCAATAGTAGAAAAAAGGGAACTAAATGTTCAGAGCAAACTGAAGCTGAGCGTTTAGCTCACATGCACCACTTATGTGACCTCATTATCTATCACTTTGTGGAATTGACCAATATTAGAGTACGTAAACAGCCTCGTCTCATAGCAAATGTGAAATACACAGGAAAAAGCCATCGATTTGTTAATGAATATAAATGTTACATTTTTGTCCACACTCTTCAGAGGGAAGTGTCAACATGGCAGCCAAAAAAATTGTTTCAGGAACACGGTAAGAAGGATGGACAATTTATCTGCAGAAACATGGATGAGTAGGTCAGCTGTTATCACAAACTGCTATGAGACTGTCTTGTTATATATGTCAGAGAGTAAAAAAAAGGATGATTGGTCAGCTTTAACAATCACATTTAAAAACCACCAAAGAGTTAATGTTTTTAGTAGCATTTGTGTGCGGTCATTCTGTCTGTAAGCATGATAGCTGGAAAAGTTTTGAATGAATTCTCATAATGAAAATTTAAATAAGATTTGGCTTACAGCCACCAAATTCTTCAAGGACAACTTAATGATGTATTGGTTGAAAACTGACAAAAAGCCTCAGTAACTTAGAAACTATGTCTCAGGTGTGTATTCTCAACATATAGAAAGAACCACATAAATGGTCACTTTCAAACTGTCCTTTAAGGTCAGTAAAAACAATCTGAAAAAAAGTCTGTGAAGGTCCTCAATCATCCAGGCCATCGTAGTCTAAGGACTTGGAAAGAAAGTGTCTGGACTTCTTAAGTTGCTTGAAGACGTTTCACCTCTCATCCGAGAAGCTTCTTCAGTTCTAAGGTCAAATGGGTTAAGGCATCTGGGGAGGGAACTCAAAACTGGATTATAGATGGCAGACAGTTGGTGTCGTAAGCCCCGCCTCTGTTCAAAGATGGTCGCTCACAGTGGACATAGATGCTTCTTTCACTCCTCTTTCAAACCATCTGTCCTCTCTGTCCAAAATGTGAACATTGGCATCCTCGAAAGAGTGACCTTTGACCTTTAGATGCAGATGAACTGCTGAGTCTTGTCCTGTGGAGGTGGCTCTTCTATGTTGTGCCATGCGCTAAGGAATTCGCATGATAAGGTGGGGCCAGGTTTCACAATGAGCTCACCCGAAACTCTGGCTGATTGGGACCCACACCCAGTTTCCCACCTTGGCTCAGGCAATTAGAGGATCATCAGGGGTCCTTTGTCCCTCTGTGGGGGGAAACTCCCACTAGGTTTAAATCTGGGACTCTCCACCATTTGACCTTAGAACTGAAGAAGCTTCTCGGATGAAGGTGAAACGTCTTCAAGCAAACTTAAAGAAGTCCAGACGCTTTTCTTTCCAAGCTCCTTTGAATCTGAAAAAAAATTTGTCTTTTTGTAATTTTTTGGTTTCTTTTGCTATTTGATGCCTCAAAGTTACAGCTGAAGAAATGACACTGGGGCTTATTAGACCTGACAAAACTCAGTTAAAGACAGAAAATTAAAGACATCTAAAAAGAATTCTGACCTATGTCTTTAAATTGTAGTTTGAGTGCTGTACTTTGAGGAAGTTTGTTATTGCATTTGTACATGTGGACATTGCATTCTTTTTGGGAATCATCTGATGGTGTTGGATATCGTCTCACACTGCAGCTATATGTATACGAATAAGGAACATGCCTTACTGAAGTCTGCTTCTTCACAGGTCATATCACAACGACTGATCGGAAGGTTTTTAAATGAACACTAATACTTCACATATTTCTCACTGTGAGTATCAGTAATTAGCGCTTTACTTTTCTACTCAGACGTCACTTCACAGCCCAATGAACGTGTCAGCCAAGCAGTGAAGCTGCTCTATATACTGCAAGTGTCGCTGGAAATTTGACCCATTTTGATATGTCACCACAGACTCTGTGATATTTTATAATTATTTTAGCAGGTCAGTTCAGTCAGGACAACCGTGGTCAAAAGACGACTGTTTTTCCATCTGCAGTTATTTATATTTGACCTCTCTGCCCTTCCCACATGCATACATGGACAGCGTAAGGCACAGACAAGACCAGGCATCAGTGAAAACAGATACTGTGCTGGTTAAAATCAGGCACACAATAAAAGAACGAGCTGAGGTAGAGGTGCGTTGCAAAGTGGCTGCAGTGCACAGCAACTGTGGGAAGGTTAAAGCAGCTTAAATAGTGTGCTCTATATGGGATTTGCCAATTGAATGCATAAAAAGATATCAGCTTAGGCACCAGCTGTTGTGGGCCGGCGATGTCAGACTGCGGCTGAGTTTGACTTTGCGGCCTCCCCGAACAAACACTATACTCCCTTAAAAGGGTAACCCTACAAACAAAATTTGTTTGGGGCTATGTAGTAGTAGTTATAAGTCTGCTTAACATTTCAAATTCTGTAATACTAATGTGGAATCTAAGCCTAGAGCCCTCTCATAGCAGCTGTCTAGGATATACTTTCCTTTGCAACATGGGCGATAGAGTATGCTCGCTAAGTGGTTAAAAAAAATACATCGGATGAGTTACTCTCTTTCTTTCCGTTTTAAGTATAAAATATGTTAAATAATTCAAGGATTCTTCAATAAAAACTCATAACAACAACGACTCAGCACAAAGTGGGCCATGTAAAATCAGAATCGGAATACTTTATTAATCCCTGAGGAAATTATGTGGTTACAGTTGCAAGACAGCAAGAAATCACAGAGCGGGGTCAGCGGATGCTTGGGGCATAGCGCGCAGAGGTCACCAACTTTCTGCAGAGTCAGTCGCTGCAGACCTCCAAACTTCACGCGGCCTTCGAATTGGCTCAAGAACATTGAGTAGAGAGCTTCATGGAATGGGATTCATGGCGAAGCAGCTGCATCCAAGCCATACATCACCAAGCACAATGCAAAGCATCAGATGCAGTGGTGACTCTATGCTGCACTAGAGCACTGGAGGTGTGTTCTGGGGTGACGAGTCACACTTCTCGATGGATGAGTCTGAGTTTGATGTTTGCCAGGACTGCTTGTCTGACTGCACTGTGCTAAGTGTAAGTTTGGTGGAGGGGGAAATATGTAGTGGGGTTGTTTTTCAGGAACTGGGCTCAGCCCCTTAGGCTACGTTCACACTGCAGGCGAAAGTGCATCAAATCAGACATTTTTGACCCTATGCGACCCGATGCATATCCGAGGCATATATGCATATCTGATCATGGTCTGACAGTGTGAACGGCACAAATCCAATATTTTCAAATCCGATCTGGGTCACTTTCGTATGTGGTACTGAATCCGATACATATCCGATGTTTTAGAAAGCGACTGCTGTTTGATGGTCATGTTGCATTAAATCTGTCTTTTACGTCACTGACACAAGACAGACGCCAATTATCAGCACCGTAGAAGACATCGTGAACGCTTCCTGGCCATCCAGTGTAGATGTCAGTGAAACTGTTGGGAAGACAACGTTGGAGAAACGTGAACATTTTATTTGTACTGTATAATCAGCAGATTCTGACAGAAATCTGCAGCTATCCTTTGAAGCACCGCTCCTCTAAAACAGCAATAAGGATCATTATTAGGCCAAATGTAAATAACAAAATAACTTTATAACTTAAAGCAAAATTGGGAAATGTAAAGTCCGAAATAAGTCTTTATATTAAGGGCCATCAGTCAAACAATACTGTTTGGTCTGGGTCTAAACAGAGCGCGTTGTGTGACGTCTTCTTCGTTTGTGCAAGCGGGGCGCTTTGAGGTTCACACTAGAGCGCGTTTGCTGTCGCATTTTATTTGGAGTGTGAACAAGCAGACAAAAATTGGATTTGATCAAAAAATCGGAATTGAGCATTAAGACCTGCAGTGTGAACGTAGCCTTAGTTGCAGTGAAAGGACTGCGCACCAGTGCACAAAGAGAACAAATTTGGTGTTGAAGAACTTGACTAGCCTACACAGAGTCCTGACCTCAAACAGACCTTATGGATGAATTAATCAGTCTGACCTCACAAATGTACTTCTGGACGAATGGTAAAAAAATTCCCATAAATGCTCCTAAACCTTGTGGAAAGTCTTCCCAGAAGAGTTGAAGCTGTTAAAGCTGCAAAGGGTGACATCATATTAACTCTATGGATCAAGAACGGGATGTCACTCAAGTTCATGCGTGTGAAGCCAGACACGCAAATGCTTTTGGCAACATACTGTAGCTGAACTCAGTAACCTCGCTCTACGAACCGAGAGGAAGCTTGGACCACAAGCAGCTCCTCGTGCACCCACCATGACAGTTAAAATAAACAGAATAAAAGCAGTGCATGAATGTAGACAACTAATACCAGTGCAGTTACAACGTCACTAACTAGTCACGCTATAAATAATGTCAGCACATGTTCTGTGTAATGAGATTTTATGGTGGTAAACAAGAGTGTGGTGTAATGTGCCAGGGCTCATTCAACACACACGCCTGCTGACTGGAACTCCAGGCATCTAAATGCTGTTGCATGATGGGAAAAAGTGTCACGACACAAACACATTCTTAACTCCAGCTCTGACAGAGCCTGCCCGGCTCCTCCCACCTGCTCCGCTCATCTGAAGTTTCCTTCCCCACATTCCTGCACGGACATCTGTCTTCCTCCACTTACACCCTATTTCTATTTCAGGCTGCGTAACCCCGACCCCGAAATTCAGGATAGTTTGTCCGATACTCAACACATGAAGCTCCTCGGGATGAGTGGGACTGCAGCTCCCATAATCAAACTGCTTTGTCTGCTGCAGGGTAACTGGGACTAATATTCAGTTTAATATCAGTGATGTTGAGATGAGGTGACACGAAGCACTGAAAGAGATCTCAGTGCACAGAGGTAATATAAATCCTCTTACCATCTGCCTCTTGTTCTCTATCAAATGAGCGCCGATAATTCCCAGAAAAGAGCCAAAGCCCAGCTGAAAGGAGAGAAAACAGCTGTTAGGGCATTTATCTAGCTTTGATTTCAGAATCTTGATTGCACAGTGCAAGCTCAGCACAAGTCTGATATATCAAGTATTAATAATACTTATCATAATCGTACAGTTGTTGTGATTTCTCTTTATCTTATGATGCTCGCTTTGTAAGTAAATTCCAATATGTTTTATTAATTTATCAATCGGACTAACGTGGCGTAACCTGCTCTACAGTAACCATTTATGTAAGCGAGAATGCTAAAAGCCAAGTACTGTGACGAACAGGTTTAGAGATTGAAACATATTACCTCATTCAGTGGATAATGACAGTGATGCTAAATAATAAATGTGGGTAATATTTACAGCTCAAAGACCTTCGGTGATGAGGTTTATCAGGGCTAGTGAGCAGTGGCGAGTGTGCTGGAAGCACAGCGACTTCACTTATCATGCAGCCTAAGAGAGAACAGGCCTGCTGGGCCGCGTCTGTCGATGGTAGGCGCCGGTGCGAATGTGTACTCACAATGACTCCTGAGTAGTAGCCGCCCACCGTGATGTTCTGTGTCCTGGTAGTCGCTGCCAGGCCGAAGATGAGGATGAGCACAGACACAATGAGCAGCATCACCGTCACAATTATGGATTTCCTCTTTCTTCTCTTAAAGGATCCTAGAAGAAATAAGTAAACATGAACACTGGCACAAGCAGTAAAGAGATTCAGGCATTTGCTTCAGCTCTCATATGGTCCTGCCACAGCATTTCATGCAGGTTCAGGTCTGGACTTTGAATAAGCCATTGTAACACCTTGATTCTTTTCTTTTTTAGACGTTCGTTTGTAGATTTGCTGTTGTTCTTGGATCACAGTCCTGTTGCATGACCCGGTTTCAGCCATGCTTTAGCTATCAGACTGACGCCTTCACATTTGACTCTAAAATACTTTGGTATCCAGGGGAGTTCATGGTGGACTCACCAACCCTCCACCACTTTGCCTGACAGCTGGTATGAGGCGTTTTTGCTGGTATGCTGTGTTTGGGTTTCTCTAGTGTGGCACAGCGGGTAATGGCCAAACACTCTGGTCTCTGTCAGAAGTCTTGTGGTTTGTTCAGATGCAACTTTGCAAACCTAAGCCATGCTTTCATGTGGCTTAAGGTGAGAAGAGCCTTTCTTACTCTGCTAAATTAACTACATTGTCCTGTACTGCATAGCCATTTCTGGAAATGTAAATCTTTTTAGTTTATAGCCTACATAGTTTTTTTCTTCACAGACTAAGAATTAAAACTACCTGCTCCTGATGCCAGCATCTGAAAAGTATTCAATTTGATACACAAAGGCCATCAGTTCTACTCAAACATAACAATTTGAAACAGTAAATATTCCGTTTCAGAGAAAACAAGGACACAGCTTTCAAGGAACAACAGCTGAAGCAACACATTTCTTCATCCATTCTGGCAAAATGACTAGTTTACCCAATGTCGGAGGGATTCATCCCTTTTAGCAGCAATGACTTATTCAGTGACTTAAAAGAAATTTGATAGAATTACCTCCTTAACTTGCAGGTTTTCTGTATATTTTTGTGAATCATCAAATAAGCGCTGATAATTCTGAACGAGAACTTTGCAAATGTTTTGAGATAATGGGTGAAAGCAATTGAGAAAAACCACAAAGGGACTCGTGACTGTTCCTTAGTATTCTGCCGCCCTCGCTTTGACCATTAGTGGGCACTTCTGTTGATGTGTCTCTGAGGAAGTGATAAAACCTGAAGTATCTGAAGAGCTGCTGCATGTGTGAATGTTTGAAATATTCACAAGGACCTGACTGAGTTTCAATTTAGCCCAGTTAATGATTCAATTCTTACCTAAAAATTAGGAAAAATTTACTACTATGGTTAAAAAAGATTTTTTCTTAACGTCAGCACCTACAAGTGATATGTTCAGATTCTTGTCTCCACTCACTCCACCCTGCCTGCGGTCTCTTCTTCACCTCTCTCGTGCACGGTCCATTGATTTAGCTGGTTGACGTCAGGTATTTAAACTTGTCACTTTCACTACCCTTACTCTTTGCAGTGTGACTGAAACCCCTGTCTCCTTCTCATTCACACACATCTGTTCTGTCTTGCTTCTACTGGCTTTCATTCCTCTTCTCTCCAGGGCATACCTCCACTCTCCAGGCTCTCTTCCGCCTGCTCCTTATTCTCACTACAGATCACAATGTTGTCTGAAAACATCATAGTCCATGGAGACGCCTGCATGTCCATCATCACTGCAAACAAGAAGGGGTTTAGAGCCAAGGCCTACTTTGACTCAATCGAAGCACCACCCTCACATACGTCTCTGCGACTCCTGACTTCCTTCTTCAGTACCACAGTTCCTCTCTTAGCACCCCATCATATGCTTTCTCTAGACCCACAAAGACACAGTGCAACAATTGTTAAAACACTGCATCTGCAGTGCTCGTTCTCAGCACAAAGCCATACTGAAGATCACTGAAGATTATCACCTCTATGATCACTGCAGCTCTGCACATCACTTTTGTTCTTAAAAATCTATTTCTCTGGCATATTCTCACTCTCCAAGATTGGTTAGCACATTTCCATCTCTATCCTTAACCACCTGAACCTGCTGCGCATTCTTATCAGCTCAAGCTCTCAGCCTAGCCAAATCATTCCTTCCTTAGTGTTCTGCCTCTCATAAACTCACTATAAGCCTTTTCCCATACTCCCATCTACTTTCTTCATCTCCTTGACTTTTCAAACCTCTTCCTACAAATACTGTCTTATACTTCCTGATTCCACGATCGAATCTCCTAGTTCTCGTTCATCTGTTTAGAGGATACACCAGACACTTCCTTGGCAGGTTCGCACGCCACTGAAGCTGCTCTCTGTCTAAACTCTTGCCTGAACTCTGCACAACATTCAACAAATGAAAGTTAAACCTCTAAATGCAAATAAAAAACAGTGACAGGATCCAGTTCACCCAATATGGACTCAGCCAAAATGGAAAACTGTCCTGTGGTCCATCCAATCAAAATAAAGCTTAGACCCTGTATCCGCTGGACTGAAGAGGAGCGGGACCAGCCCACTTATTATTGGTAAAAGTTCAAATGCTATCATGTGTTAATGTGCCGTTAATGCTGAGCAATATCTACAAATTTCAGAGCAACAAATGACATCTATAAAAGTGATTTGCTTTTTTCAGTGAAGGACAGGGCCAAAGCACGTTCTACACGTATTCCAACAGGGTGGATCAATAAAGAGCTTGAGCACCTGCAGCATTGAAGAGATGACCATAAACTATAAATAATATGTACATCAATGTGCCAAAGATCAGCCTTCAACGGTCAAATACTCTAAGGTGATATTCCTTTAATTTGCTAAAGCCAAACCTCATCAATGTAAGAAAGGAGAATGGCAGAGAGAGGCAGTGGCTGGTAAGTTAAGATGCAGTCTTCAATATCTACTCTCGTGCATTTGTTTCAGTCTGTGGTTGCACAAAACCGCTCTTTCTATATCCTCGGTGATTTATTCTGTGGTCACAGCCCATTTTAGATTAAGCCGAGTCACTTCCACACTCAGTTTTATCAATACATGAACATGTCAAGGTCAAGTCTGCTGCTGAATACTGATGCTCCAACCTGGAGATAAACAAGAAAGCACACTGAGCTTGTGTGACTAAAACATATGGCTACAGTTCATTTCTGTCTCCATGGTGCCTGCGTAGAGAAGGACGCGGCCTCTGAGATTAATGAGCCAGAAATACATGTGTGAGTTTGCAGAGCTTAGAGTTAAAATAACAGTTCTACTGTGAGAAAACTACTTTTCCAGCAGGCAACAGAAGGAGTGAAATGACCATGAGAAACTTGGTGCTGCCATCAGAACAGTTCACCCAGCACAAGTGTTACACCCCGGCCTAGGCAACCGGGGTGCAACGCAGGAAAATAAAAATAAGGAAAATAAAAATAATCCCAAAACGAGATTTAAAGCAAAATACCACATTTATTTACATCACCAAACACCAGACGTCAAACTATTTACAACGGGGGGGAAGATCGCGACCATGACACACTGAAACACAAGGCTTAAATACATAGAAGGGCAATCAGGGAATGGACAACAGGAGGGAAACACAGCTGGGGCAAATTAGACCTGACGAGACAGGGAAACGTAAACTGAAAACACTAAGATAACACAGACTTTCAAAGTAAAACAGGAAACACATAACAGTCACGCCAAAAGCAACACACCGACAACACCAAAACGTAACAGTTCCCCCCACCCAAAAATCAAACATTTAACACCAAGTGAAAAGTTTGATCCAGACAGACGAAGCCGATGAAGGCTGGAGCGGTCCCACTGACCCTCCAGCAGACGACGAAGGCTGGAGCAGTCCCACGGACCCTCCAGCGAAGGCGGATGAAGGCTGGAGCGGTCCCACGGACCCTCCAGCGACGACAAAGGCTGGGCGGTCCCACGGACCCTCCCCTCAGCGAAGGCAGACGAAGCTGATGAAGGCTGGAGCGGTCCCACTGACCCTCCAGCAGACGACGAAGGCTGGAGCGGTCCCACGGACCCTCCAGCGAAGGCGGATGAAGGCTGGAGCGGTCCCACGGACCCTCCAGCGACGACAAAGGCTGGGCGGTCCCACGGACCCTCCCCCCAGCGAAGGCGGATGAAGGCAGACGAAGCTGATGGAGGCTGGAGCGGTCCCACGGACCCTCCAGCAGACGACGAAGGCTGGTGCGGTCCCCCGGACCCTCCAGCAGAGGCGGATGAAGGCTGGAGCGGTCCCTCGGACGCTCCAGCGAAGGCGGATGGCTGAAGCGAAGGCAGACGAAGCTGATGACGGCTGGAGCGGCCCCACCGACCCTCCAGCGGACGACGAAGGCTGGAGCGGTCCCACGGACCATCCAGCGAAGGCGGATGAAGGCTGGAGCGGTCCCTCGGACGCTCCAGCGAAGGCGGATGAGCAGCCCACCAGCTGCACACACGGACACGCAGCCCACCAGCTGCACACACGGACACGCAGCCCACCAGCTGCACACACGGACACGCAGCCCACCAGCTGCACACACGGCTGCAGAAGGCTGGAGCGGTCCCTCGGATCCTCCAGCGAAGACAGAAGGCCGAAGCTGTCCCTCCTTCGGACCCTCCAGCGATCCCGGACGAGCCCCCATATGTTACACCCCGGCCTAGGCAACCGGGGTGCAACGCAGGAAAATAAAAATAAGGAAAATAAAAATAATCCCAAAACGAGATTTAAAGCAAAATACCACATTTATTTACATCACCAAACACCAGACGTCAAACTATTTACAACGGGGGGGAAGATCGCGACCATGACACACTGAAACACAAGGCTTAAATACATAGAAGGGCAATCAGGGAATGGACAACAGGAGGGAAACACAGCTGGGGCAAATTAGACCTGACGAGACAGGGAAACGTAAACTGAAAACACTAAGATAACACAGACTTTCAAAGTAAAACAGGAAACACATAACAGTCACGCCAAAAGCAACACACCGACAACACCAAAACGTAACAACAAGATTAACATGTTACCATTCAGCTGGTGCTAGGGTGAGGCCTGGGTTTTGCTGCTGACACATGATAAAATGGCACAGTTTCAGAAACTAGAAGATGTTACCTTTAAAATGAGAAAACTCAGCATCACAATTTTTCTGCTTTTTCTCTTTTTTGGGGGAAAAAACCCAAACAGTTTTTAAAGAGACTCTTAAACAGTTTAGAAAAAGGATGCATAGATGGAGTTCCAAAGAGGCTGGAACTCTGAGGGTTTTATTCCTGAATGTAGCTGAAGAAAAAAGAAGAGGATTGATAACTAAACTGGACTTTAGTTGTTGTTTTATTAAACTTTTACCACATTTAAAACCGACTAGGCTGATATTTTTTGTTTCTTGTCAAACTGATACTTTTAATTGGACTCATTTGCACAAACACACGGGACACAAAAAGGCTGCGGCAGAGATCATATAATTACCATTAAATTTCAATCATTAAATGTTTACAATCGAAAGGATTAAAAATTAATAAAAGAAAAAAATAGATTAATACATAAAGTCAGTCTAACTTTATCAGGCCAGGTTTTGATCTAGCACAGTTTTTCTACTGATCATTAGCTTGTGGAGGGAAATTGTATGGTGGCTACCAAATACCAAAAGAAATCCAGTGAATCACCAGAAGAACAGAAATGGATTTAAAGGTTTGGGTGGGCCACAGAAGATTTTCAAATTAAAAGTGATACATGGTGCTAGTTTTTGAATGGCAGATCTAATATAAATGATTCAAGGTTTATTTAATTTAACTTAAAATTCTGTATAAAAAAGCCAAAAGTAACAAGAAAATGGAAAATTTTCTGTTAACTAAGGAGAAACGTTTAGGTAGCTTAAGCATACTTTACGTTATTATTGAGGTAGGATTATGCCTTTTTTTTTTTACTTATGTAGTCTCATTTGAAACTTTAAATGCTTGTTTTTGTATTAAATAAATGTTTCATAAACTCTTCACTTTCTATTTATTTCTGATCAAATGTCTTTGAGTAAGGTGCCACTTTATGAAACAATGTCCTAGAAACGCCCCTGCCCAACATGCCTTACAGGGATTTCAAAAAACAAACAAACCAAACAAACAAACTCCAAGGCAAACTTCTGTTGTTTGAATAATCAACGATGTGCTGCCATCTGATGAGAATTACCCGCATTGCCAAATATATTCCCGCGACTTTTTTTCTCGCGGTATTTGATCGTTTAATCGATTTATTTTTCATGGTAGCTGCCCGGCATCCAGCTGACAAAGAAAGAGAGAAGAAGAACACGAAGAAGAAATGGGTGTGCGGCAGCCAGCAGCCATCGGAGCCAAACCTCCAGGCTGCTCTGGTTACTCAGCGCCGCCGCACCTGCAGTGACGCGCTGCGGCCTGGGAGAGGAAAAAATAGTCTGCCCAGTGATGCAACGAGTGTTTCAGGCTGCTTTTAAAAGACATGAGAGAAAATCATAAAACGATTTCATTTCTCTCATCCGATGTAAATAACAGGTGTGGATGAGCATTTTAAGGCTCACCTGGGTGTTACGGAAGAGGTAAAAGACGCATGAGAAAATCCCCGCAGTGTAAGTCAGTTTAACGGGTTTTAATTGACAGAAAAACCTGCTGCAGACACGCCGCTGACCTTGCTCGCACACCTACCAATGCTCGTCTCTGAGAGGGTCAGACCGCTGGATTGGAGGCTCTGAGGAGGGGGCATGCTGGCTGGAGGACGTTTTACCGAAGTCCAATCCTCTTCCAAATAAATAAATAAATATATAAATATATATAAATATTAAACAATCACGACTCAGTGCTGGGTGATGTAAATCTGAGGGCTAACGGTGGACGAGCTGGGGCATTCTCTGACGAGCTGTCCTCCGTCCCGCTGAAGCCCGGGCCCGTCTCATTTACATCCCCGCGGCTGCGGAGACCTCGCTCGGCGTCCGTCCTCTCGCCGTGTCGGTGTCGGACAGCAGGTCGCTGGTGCTGCTGCTGGTTGTATGTGCGCATGTCACACACACACACACACACACACACACACACACACACACACACACACACACACACACACACACCGAAAAGCAGCTACTCTGGATGCCGTTACTATTTAAATAGTAATATTCGTTACTTTGCGTTACACTCGCAAACCGGTTAGCGTGGATCTGTTTTGCTTACCAGCTGCTGCAAGTTTATTTGCTGAAATATATAAACTGATATCAAGAGGAGCAACTACAAGCCTCAGGGCAACTTAAATTAAAAATCTGTCTAATTGAACCTTTCAGATTAAGACTGAAGTTTCAAAAATGATGTTGATTTAATAGAAATTACAAATAAATAGGAGGTATGAGAGTGAATTAACGAAGAAGCTTCTCGGATGAAGGTGAAACGTCTTCAAGCAACTCAAAGAAGTCCAGACGCTTTTCTTTCCAAGCTCCTTAGACAGTGAATTATCACCGAAAACAGGGATTAAACATCCTACTGAGCGCCTGTTTTGTGACAAATTGAGTTTAAAAGGGTTTTAAATCTTTTTTTTAAATTTTGTTTGATATTACGAAGATTTAAATTCACACTTCTAGAGAAGCTCATAAAAAAGTATCACCTTGGTGTTTAGTGAGCCTCAGGACGCGCAGCGAGCGCCACCAACCGTCACAACTACAGCGTTGCGTTCAAGAACTGCGAGACGTTCTGGGAAACTGTTAATCATTTATTCACAGGGATGCTTTTGAGTGCATGTCGAAATGTGAGGAAATCTCAGAAGTATCATGAACAGGAGCTGTTTTTCTTCTAGTGTGGCGGGTTGGAGGAACAGCTGAAAGAGGACTGGAAGAAAGACCAACTTAAAAAAAGCCACCTGGGAATTCCATCCCTGGAAATGTACTCAAGTGGACCTTAATTACAATTTATCACAAAAGCACTCAGACTTGGTTTCTTTCAATAAATTTCTAAAACACAGTGGAAAAATAGCAGCTCAGCTAAAGCAACACATGATATAAGTTGCCACGTCCTAATTGGACAAACATAGCGGTGTCCCTTACACCTGCGTCCCAGTGCTTTTATTCACAAATGAGGAGAGAGGACCTCCCCAAAGGTGCCCGCAGCTTCTCAAAAAAGACCTTCTGCTTTACTAAAAAAGAAAAAGTAATCAACAATGAAAAGACCAGGCAACTCACTTGAACTAGAAACCACTGTATATTTCAATGTATTACCCTAAAAACTAGAATAAAATACAATAAAACCTAAACAAACAGCAGCAGGGGAGTAAACTGCAATTACTCACCAACGACTACTGGGCAGCCAAACACATACCAAGTGAAATGCACCAGATCCACAGACATCACGATCAGACTATAACAACTCTCAATGTAAGTCTCAACACATTAAAACGAATTTCTACATACCTGTATCCAAAGATGAAACCCCCAAAAGACCAGCTGATCCTGAAAAATGGGCTATAATCGAACTTTGATGGAAGGGCTAGAGGAGCACGGTTAATGATGCATTCACAAACACTTAGATACACTGGTTTAACAATTATAAGAAATATGTGTTAATATAATTAAAACAAAAAAAGTGGATTTATAACTTCTTCTATTTGACATGAAATCTGGTTATCAGTTGGGACAAGAGAAAAAGGGCATTTTGGGGGGTTCTCAGGAGCTATTTTGTATTTTAAATGTTATTTGAGAGCTACTTTTTCAACAATTGTGTTTACACTTTGTCTCAGGACAACTGTAATTTACACACACAAACAAAGAAACGAAATGAAAAACAGCCTTATACACTGCCTGTGCACAGACCCTGAGCATGAAATGTGAATGTCCCCCATAAGTGACATTGGAGTATTTTTTAAAATAGTTACTCAATACAAATTAATGTAAAAAAATGTCCAGTGTTCTCCAAACAATTTTCATTTCTGATGGAATATTCTGATTTTATGGGCCCCGGCTGCCCAGAAAAATCCTGGAAGCACCCCTGCTCGCTTTTCTTTTGAAGGACATGTTCAGGTTATTAATCTGCACTGACAGGAGAACTACTGACAAATATATTTTTGTGACTTTTAGTTCTCTGCAAACATCCTTATTTGGCTTTTACTGTAAAAAACGCGAGCTCTAACACACACGCACGATTTGCCGCGCATATCTCAAAGAATTGCTTTTTCCATGACGCAATTTCTCTTTTCATGTAAAAGGAGGAGGGGAACTTCTTAGGGACGTTCCCCCCTTCCACTTTAGTATGGGGGTAACAGAACGGTACGTGACCGGAGTGCTAATGGGATCAGGGATGAGGACTACTTCACCAGAGGTTAGTTTATGGTAATCCGTTGAAATTGTGGGTGCTGACAGCTGGATTAGTGCGCATACACGTGCGTGGAGTGTATCTAATGATTGATTTACTTTGATTTGATTTGTGATTTAAGTTAGATAAACACCCGAGTCAAAGATATTTAACTAAGAATTGAAAAATAGTTAATTGCTGGAAGATCTTTGCGCATTTACAGTACGCAGCCAGGCGCTGATTGAGTGTCTTGCGCTGGGAGAGGCTATAAATATTGTATTCACGCTTTGCTTCAGCTTAGCAGACAATGGCTGATGGTGTGCGTGTACAGCATGCAGTGCTGTGATCCAGGCCGCTGCCAAAACGTCTGTGGGACCCAAAAAAGAAAAAGCACTTTGCATCCCACCCCCAGCTTTTCTCCGGCCAGCGCTCATTCACTATGATGCGCGCCTAGTTGAAGGAAGCTCTCCACACCCGGTTCCCCCTGCACGCCTAAAACTTTCTAATGAAATCCCCCAAAACTTTTTGACAAATAATATTTTTTTTCCTCTGGGGGCCAATAGGGTTTTCGACTTATTAATCCGTGTTTTTTTAATTGAAAAGAGAACTTCAGGTATGTCCGACTTTTCATTCATCGATAGAGCACAGATTGTGTATTTCAGATAGCTTGGCTTTGAATTGAAAAGTAATTTAATGGACACCGTGGATTGTGGTTGGTTTAACTGGCACCTTTTCTTTCTGCGAAGAATATGGAGCCCAGTTCCACAGAGGGAGGAGCTGAGGAGAAGCTTGTTAGAAGTCTTGTGAGTGCTGAGATTATTTTATTCTTTTTTCCCTCTGGCTCATGAGCGTTTTTGATGAACCTCAAAGTTATCAACCCCGCTCCCATCCTCCCGTAGCAGCAGATTCTTATAAAGGCCTCTCTCTCGCAAATGATGTGTCCCGTGGCTCCTCTGGGATCTGTGTGTCCTGGCCTCTGGATGCTGAGACTCAGTAACAGCTGGCTGTCAGAGTGACCCTCCAGTTCTGCTGTCTGCAGCTGCTGCTCCAAGCAGGAGGGTCCACTCAGAGGAGGTCAGCTCTCCCAATGAGTGCCACAAGGTCACCAGCGGGTTTATAATTTGCAGAAACGGAGGACAGGACCATCAGTTCATTAATATGCAGAGCGCTGTCTGGCAGTTTATGTTATCGGTCATACTCAGATCAGGAGGCATGCCATTTTTTTCCTGCAGTAATTTGAAAAGCAAATAGGTTTCACTGTAGAACTCAGCAGTTTAGAATATGTGTGGTGAGGGCTTTTTCTCTTCTTCTTTCCACCAGCCTCACAAAGTGATACTCAAGCATGGCCAAGAGCTGGAGGAAGAGCAGGAGGAGCTGGCCGAGCATCAGCCTCTAGAGCAGGAAGACCTCAACTTTGAGAGATGGAAGCGCAGGCCGATTCCCAAGAGGACGCTCCACCAGAAAATAGACGACCTGAAGACATACCTGTGGAATGCAGAGACCAACGAATTCATGGGTCGCTCTGGGAAGAGCTGGAGTGAGTTGATGAAGAAAGAAAAATTCTCTGCTGTTGGGTTATGGGGAAGGGACATTTTGTATCATATATTTTTTAGTGCATATGACCATAACAACACTTTTAATGTTGAGTGCAACACAGTTAATCATCCTAAATAACATGCAAATGTGATGGTTCAGTGTGTGTGTGTTTTTTTAAGATGCACTCAGCGATAGTTTTAGGGTGAGAAATGTCTTTCCAGTCCAGTGACTGAGCTCACTGTGCTGCGAGTGTGTGTGTGTGTGTCCTCATGCTCAATGTTTACATAGGTGCATGGATGATCCAGAGTGTCCCGACAAAAACAGACTGCCTGGGGACGATTCCCCAGCGGGACGCACTGTTCAAGGCCTCACATTGGCCAGGAAACACATTCCTCTACATCTTACCATGCTCTCCACAGCCTCTTTCCCAAAGCCTTGGCGACCTCATTGCTGAACTTAACATGCTTGTGGCCTCTCAGTTGCAGTAAAACACGTAGAGGTGTTCATGTTCTTTTCCCCCGCCCTGTAAATCTAACTGCCAAATCGAGCTTTGGGCGCTGGAGAACTTTTTTGGCATGAGCGACACACTGGACGAGTTTGTTGAGTCACTGGTGATGGAGCAACCTCTTGGTATAACCAGGGTAGTTGCTATGTGATGCTGTTGAGCCCCCTCTCTTTTCACACAATGGCAAACATGATCCAACTGTGTGCAGAAAGAACTTCTAAGGAAAGTGTGTGTTACTTGCATAAGCTGCAATGCCGGATCCCCGGGCCACATAACCAGTGTGTGTGCACACTTGTGGAAGAGTGGGGCCCATGTGTCTGCTGAAGAAAGACCCCGAGTTGAAGTCTGTGCTGCGTGTCCTGTGAGACGAGTGTGTAAGAGGGGACACAATACCAGAGTGGGGTGATTGGGGTTCCTTGGAGCTGGCTGTGCCTCTATGGCTGCAAAAGGACCTTCACTACGATGGCAACCGGAGGTTCACTGTGTTCCTGAGTGAAAGGACAGCTGGGAGAATTCTCACTGAGCTCAAACAGAAAGGCCTTTGTGGCTCAGGGGATGCAACGCTGGCTACAGCTAGTCCCTGTGAAATTGCCCACACAGCAAAAGCCATTTTATTTAGGACACGTTTAGCTTGATTAGTAGCTAATGGACTGTTAATTGAAAATTGCAGACCAGTGCTATTTCTCAGGATTTCTTTGGCACAAGGTCCGTGCTTTAGCTAAGTATGGGTTTCATACCAAAGCCAGTGGAGTTATTCGCAAATGCAGACACGAGGGGACCACAGTGCTTTTTTTATTCCTAAACAAATTAGTGACCGTCCTGATCAAGGACAGTAGCTGGAGTCCAGACAGACCAAATGGTTTGCCTGAGCAAAGTGGGAATTGTTCATGGTTCGTTATTCCCCTTCACTCAGATCAGATGTAATTTATCAGGAGCTGTGTTGTCTGTTATGTAATCCACATTTGTGCAAGTACTCCCTAATGCCTCTTTTTATTTTTTTCCTTCACTCTCACCATTCAGGCCTCATCCTACTCTTCTATGCTGCACTTTATTTGTTTCTTGCAGCCATGTTTGGCGGCTGTTTGTTTTGCCTCATGTGGTCTATTAGTCCCTACCACCCCACCTTCAACGATAGAGTGATGCCACCAGGTAACTATAACTCCAAACTCAAACCACCTCCTCTGTTCTCTGTCCCTCTAGCTGTCCTTCTGTCTGTTGCTTCTCCCTGAATCTCAGCACAGTTGACTGTCTCTGCGTCTCCACTGGCAGGTATGACGATGGCCCCGCACCTAGAAGGCCATGAGATTGCTTTTAACGCATCTGATCGCAAATCCTGGAGGAAGTACGCCAGGTCTATGGAGGAATATCTAAGACGTGAGTGATGCGATCGAGGTGGGGTGGTCAAAGCTGGGAGGTCTGACAAGGTTGTTGAGTTTGTTTAAAATGAAGAGACATGGAATGGGTTAATCCTCATCTTCACTGCCTTTGTCCCTCTTTTTTCTATTTGGTCCTTGCAGGGCATGCTGGGAAGGGAAGCCTCTTTGTGGGCAGAGGGTTGCTATTCAGTCCTGGGTGTTTTTTTTTTCACAATCATCTTTTGTCAGGCTTTCTTAATCAGAGGCCTGCGCCTGGCAGGGCACTGCAAAGGTTTATTTATGCCCTCCTCTCTCTCTCATTCTCCCTCCCCCTTTCTCTCTGCTCTGTACTTTCAGCGTATAACGATGCTGCTCAGCAGAGGAAGAATATTCCCTGTGATAAGGAGACATACTTCATGCAGGACGACTTGGACGAGGCTGCAGAGCGGAAAGCGTGTCAGTTTAAACGGTCCTGGTTGGGGCAGTGTTCAGGGCTGCAGGACGCCAACTTTGGCTATTCTCAGGGAATGCCATGCATCCTCCTTCGAATGAACCGGGTAAAAAAAGATGGATTTTAAAATATCAGAAATCCAGATTACTGTACTGTGAATCAATTTTACTATCAATTTACTGTGTGAGTGACATCTTGTGGTCATTCTAGGTAAGACAGAGAGAAAGCCTTTTGTCATTGGGTGCTTATTTCATGCCTAATTAGAAACATTTTTGAATGTTTTCACATATTTATTTGTGATTTTTCTTGCAAACAGAAACAGTCGGTGCCCCACAAAGAGGGCAAAGGAAACTCACCATCAGCTGTGCCTTAAAAAAAAATCTACTTATCTAATTCAGTTTGGGACAAAGATGATACATAGCGTGTGCATGCAAACAATGCAGGATGGAAAAACTACAAGAGAGAAAATGAGGCTTTGGCATATTAAAAAAAATGGAATATTTCACTTTTAAATGTAAAGACATTGTCAGATGAATCCACAAAGGTGCATCTTTACATTTGTGCTTACAGAGTGAGACATTTTCCCTCTTACTCTTGTTCTTCTTTAATAGATCCTCGGTTACTTACCTGGTCAGGGGAAACCGATAAATGTGACCTGTGGCGTTAAGGTAAAGTTTTTCTTTCTTGATTCTTTGACTCATGACTGAAAGTGTATAAAAATAAGTAAGTCTGTAAAATAGACTTACTATTTTAAGTTTCTCTCTCAGAAAGGACCACCAGAAGTTTTGGGAAAAATTGAGTTTTTTCCCAAAAGCATTTTTGAAAACAAGTATTATCCATACTACGGGAAGCTGAGACATGTGAGTGAAAGTTTCATGATTGTCGGGGAACTGCTGCAGCAGCAGTCGAATTTAAAACACCCGTCGGGTCTTAATCTTCTGTCTCTCGTCTCTCAGGTAAACTACTCTTCACCAGTCGTGGCTGTACGTTTTACGGGCGTGCAGCAAGGCGCTAACATCCAAGTACAATGCAAACTGAACGGAAAGGGCATCATTAACGATTCTCCCACTGACCGCTACCTGGGCAGCGTGACCTTCTCCTTGGAGGTCGGAGCGTAAGGCGAAGGTGTCGCAGGACGCTCACAAGACGAGGCAGGAAAACATTCACGAGACAAGATTTATACTGAACCGTTATTTTCCATGAGATATGTAATTTGCCCCTGTCCTCGTCTTTCACTTAAATATCTTCTGCTGTGAAACAAAATCCTCAAGAAGTAGGTATTTACTCGTGTTTTTTGTTGTTTCTTTGTACCACGAGTGTGCTACTGGCACCTGCACCCACAACAAACAGTGCTGAGCACAGGAACGAGTGCCTAGAGCGAGTTATTCCTGTTCGATTCCTGATATTTTGTAATGATTAGTGAGATTAACCGCACTAAATTACACTCTGCCCATTAGTTAGAGTTTCTGGCTATGCAAATCCAATTATGAATTAAACATTAATAGGGAACTAGAGTTCTTTCAGGTTAGATCGTACGTTTTTGTGCACATTTTGTGCGACCAAGTGTACTAATTTGTTTTGCATTATATTTTTCAAACATGTATATTGTAAGAATTCAAAGAACTATCATGCAAACACTGAAAGCAGGACTTGTACTGTACTTACACAGTAAAAAAAAAAGACATAATAAATGCAAATACATGATTACTATATTTTTGTTGAATAGAGCAGTATTATACATTTATGATAAAGTATCACTTCTTCTTTTGTAAAAAAATATTCGCTTTGGAAAATGAAATACTATACATGACTGATCAATAAAGAGACGCACTGTGCTGTGAAATAGTTTGTCAAAGGTCTGCACCGTTTTAATTATGCTATAACTATTTTGTGATAGTATTAATCATGCCTGAACTGTGCTACTAAACTTGGTATCAGTGTTGTATTTATTCCTATTATAGCTCTTACAATAAATACAGTGTTCTGGTATGTACTGCAAGTTTCTTCCACATCACTAACAGCCTGCACAGACTCTGACATGTTGCTACAACATCTAAATTGATTTACTGCAGAAGTCTCATATTTTAAAGAATGTCGTATTATACAGAGGCAGCTGCTATAAAACAAGGTTATAAAGTAAACACTTAATGCTTCCTTAAGAAGTAAGATGCTGCTGCTCAAATGCAAAATGCACTTGATTAACCACAAACCAAGCAAGAAAGACAGCAGCAGTGATCTTAGAGAAGTAATTATTGCTGCCCATCAGTTTGGGAAGCGTTTCTAAACAACTTTAAATCCATCATTCTAGAGTGAGACTGATTACGTACATTCAAATTTCCAGTACCAACTTTATTGGCATCTCAACAGCTGTGTTATATGCTGGTGTCGACCAAAGAGGCCAATCAACACGCTTACCATCCACTGGAGGTAAGTGTAAGGAATCGGTTCTCAGACTTTTTGAATCGTTAACCACAAAAATTTAATTCTAGTAAAATGTGTAATTGGAGGTATAATGAGGACCCAAGCACAGGACATGGAAGCAGGTTGAAACATTGGCTAAAGAAGCCCTGAAATGGATAAGGGTAATACAACTGCAGGCATCCAGGAACTGAAGAGTAATAAGAGATTAACACGAGGGGGCTCTACCAAAGGGAGGATCGTGTTTTCATTTTATACTTCGCTCTTAGCTTTTCATGCCCCAGTGCAGCAGCTCTTCGTCTCTGTGTTGTTGACAAAAAGAGGGGGTACCACTCAAACGCTTTGTCTACATTTTTGCTTCAAGTTCAGATAAACTGTCAGAAACCCATTTATACAAAGTCAGCATTGATACTCGTCTCCATATCAGTTCAGCATTGTGCAACTCCAGGGTCAACTTGTTTTCATGTCAGTAGCTGGCATGAGAGTCACGGCTGTGCGTGCTTGTTACAGGTCATAAAAAGCAGGTAGCCAATCAAAGTCAAATGCACAGTTTAGGCCATTTGATCGTTCAGCAGTGTAAATGTTTACGCCCGTTAACCTTTGAATGCAGTTTAGTCGCAAGACTCTCGAGCTTGTAGGGAAAGTTCCTACGACACTGGCAATAGTCACCTACAAGTTCTAATGATGTTATCGAGCACATGTTTTAATTAATTATTCAAAGAACACAGAGAGGGTAGATTTTTTTTTCTTTATATAATGTTCCTGAAACGTTAAAAGTTAAACTAAGACATTCTCCCTGCAGCATGTTGAGCATGGCTTGGAGTACCAGATTATACTCTAATCTTTTATGAAACATTCCCACAATGATATTAAGGTGGGAAAACATCCTCCAAACAACATTATGAAATGAAAATGAAAATTAACAGATTGCGTTAGAGCAGTGGTGTCAAACATAAGGCCCAGGGGCCAGAAATGGCCCAGCAAGAATGCCAATCAAGCCCACTAGATGGCTTTCTATAGCATTATAAAACATTTTAAATTTTATAACATTTCTAAATGATAAAGGCCTCCACCCTTACTACACCAAAGTAATTAACTAAAAGATGATCAATTAAAGGAAAGAAAATTTCCAGTTTTTCTGAAAAAATAAACATTTTTCTGTCTGTTAACAAAAAAAACCAAAACAAAAACGTTCTATTTATGACAGGACAGTCCGGTGAATGAGCAATTTCACACATTTATTTCTTAGCAGCAGAGATGATTGCATTTCTTTTTGTGTGTTAAGATATCTCAGGGATTACATTTGAAGGTAAACATCTTAACCTGACAGAAAGGAGTGTTTTGCTGTTCTGGCCCACTTAAAATGAAAGTGGGTCGTATGTGGCCCACGGTATAAAATGACTTTGATATCCCTGCATTAGAGGTGAGTATTAGAGTAGCAGCTCATCAGGTTCACAGGTTATTTTAATTTCTTAAGTACTAAAAGTAGAGTAACACGTTTTCTTGTCACTGGTTGACAAGAAACTAAACTAAGCAAAATTACAACCCACTGACAAATGTGACCTTAAGCACAGGTTGGGTGGAGACCCATTAGGTGTTCAGTGTGTCTGAGGTTAAATGAATCCTGACCATGAAGCTATGGTGGTAGACAGGTTGACTGATGAGGTCAGGCATGAGTCTCTGTGGACTATGTTTGCAGATGACATTGTGGTCTGTAGGGAGAGAAGGCAGCAGGTGAAAGAGCTTTGAGAGATGGAGGAATGAAGGTCAGTGGAAGCAAGACAGAATACATGTGTGTGAATACGAGGGAGACAGGTGTAACAGTGAAGCTGCAAAGAGTAGAGGTAGTGAAGTATTTGAAATACTTGAGGTAAACCATCCAAAGCAATGGGCAGTGCATGAGAGAGGTGAATAGAGTGCAACCAGGCTGAAGAATATCAGGGCTGATTCATGACAGAAGAGTAGCGAGACCAGCTCTGATGCATGGTTTGGTGATGGCGGTACGGCCAAAATGACAGGAGGCCAAGATGAAGATGAAGGAAAGCGCAGGGTGAGTGACTCTGAGACAAATTTAGAGAACAAAGCTGAGATGGTTTGGATGTGTGCAGAGGAGGAACAGTAGATATATTGGATAAAGGGGGTTAAAGATGGAGCGACCAGCTAGGAGGAAACGAACGACCACAGAGAAGATTCATGGGTGTAGTGAAGGAGGACATGCAGAGGGTTGGTGTGACAGAGGTGGAAGATGCTCAGGTGATCCGTGGTGGCGATCCCTAAAGGGAGTAACTGACAGGAGGAGGTGGTAATGTTTGGCAACGTTGTGTGAACATTTTCTGAAACATTTAGTTTTGCATGATTACGATGGAAAAAAAACCCCCAACTCCCCAAACATTTAGAGGCCTGATGTTTATGAAATGCTCCTCTAATTTAATATTAACCTAGGTAGAGTGCTTCACCTGAAGTATTCTGAGGATGCTGTCAGGCTAACAAATACAACATGATCTGGTTTCACATCCATCTTTTAAAAGTTTTGAACTAAATGGTTTGATTATCATAAAATGTGGACTACCAATCCATCCAGAGGGTTTGCAAAGTCAGCTGATAAAATGTTAAAACCATCAGAGCATAAAGTAGAACAACATTATCACTGAAGATTTTTTTAAAGCAGGTTATCACCAAAGACTTTAAAGGGACCCTGCTTTAAGCATCAATAGGACAGCAGTCAGGAGATGAGTTTTTCTAGCTAAGTCTGCACCTTGACAAGTAAAGCAAAGTAGATACAGTTTAAGAAAAAATAAATGACAATGATACAAAACAAGAACCAAACTTTATTTAATTTGTTCCCCACTTGTGTCAAACAAGCTCATCACATCACATTCTTCATCAGATGGAGACAAGCTTCAAGCAAGCAACTCGAGAGGTGCACAACAGAAAGGCACGAAACTGTCGGGGAGTGACCGGACGCTCAGAATCACATGAACGAAACGGTGCGACTCGAGGAAACATCGTCTTCACACCTGAACTTCACCTGTCGTTAGTGTACTATGACATGGACGGGGTAGTATGCGGTTTGATCCGGGT